GGGGGGGGGGGGGGGGGGGGGGGCGGGGCGGCGAGGGAGGCAAGTGCAAGGATGCCACACCAGACCGGACTACTTCTTCTTCCGCTCGTTGTTGTTCCACACACGGTTAAGGTGGAAGTTGAGGGGGTTGCCAACATAGCGCGAGGGCTTGCGGAGCATCTGAGCGCGCGCGCGCGCGCGCACGGTCGAGAAAGTGAAGAGGATGGCAGGAAGGGGAGGGGGCAGCGAGGTCAGGAAAAGTCGGCGAGCGAGAGGGCAATCAGGAAGGCGCGCAGGGGACATGGGAACGCACCGCCACACCGTTCATGCAGTCGTTGAAGAGGTTCAGCTGCGGCAGGCAGACGTCCAGATCGTCCTGGTGATACATGAAGCAGGAGGTCAGGTCGTTCAGCAGCTCGGTACAGATCTCCAGGGGGGTGGCATCGCGCTCGAGCTTGCCGACCGTCGTCAGGATCATCTGGCGCCCGGACTTCTTCGGGCGCGGGGGGAGCTTCAGACCTCTGACAGGGAGCATGGTGGAAGGGGGTGGTACGACACGGGGGACAGGGGGCAACCTCGGGCAAGCCGTGCGCTGGGGCAAACAACAGTTTCGAGGGACAACGGCGTCAGACAGTGGGCTCGATGGAAAGGCAACGGCGGGCGGGAGGGGCGAGAGGTAGCCGGGCGATCGGGGAGAACCGGAAACCGCATTGGCGTAGGGGACCAGCATGTGAAGAGAGAGGGGGGAGGCATAGGGAGAGGGGGGAGGCATAGGGAGAGGGAGGGGCAGAGGGAGAGGGGGGAGGCATAGGGAGAGGGAGGGGCAGAGGGAGAGGGAGAGAAGGAGAGAGGGAGAGAAGGAGAGAGGGAGAGAAGAAGAGAGGGAGAGAAGAAGAGAGGGAGAGAGAGAGGGAACAAGGGGAGATCACAGAAGATGGAGCAAGAGGGCAATAAGGGCAGGCGGAGGGGGAGGAGGGATTGGTCCGCACAAAGGGCACAATCGGGGAGGAGTAGCTCTGTTGCTGGTCTGCTTGGGGCGGAGGCGGCCGCAGGGGGGAAGAAAAACATCCCAGCACTGACACCCTGAGCACTGGCCAGCAGGCCAGAAACTCGTGTGTGGGCAGCATAAACAGGGCGGCGGGCTCGTGCGGCCCTCGCGATCCCCGCGGGCAACAACCGCCCGAAGGGGCACGATGGCCTCTGGCTCGGCCGCAACGGCAGGACGATTGGACCAGCGGCCTTGAAGGTGGGGGGGGGGGGCTTGGAAAAAGGTAGAGCTGCAGTGGTACCATGTCCCTCCGGCCGCCCCCATCGCGAGGGCGGGAAAGGGTGTTTAGTATGTGGGTGTGATGTGGGCCTGTGTGACGTGGTGGTGTGATCATTGAACGGTGTTTCGGACTGAGTTACAAGAGCATGCGGCCCGGCAAACAAAGAATGCACCCCGGCTATTGGGCGGTCTTTCGGGCCCCCGGGGGTGGGGCTGAGTCCGGCGGGCAACAACACCCGGCGCCAGCCGGCCCCAAGGGCGAATGGCGATGGTGAACTGGCCCGGCGGCACCTCACCGTGGCATACGCGCAAATAACCCAATTTCAACGTTACGTGAGTATGTGCGCGTGTGTGTGTGTGTATGTGTGGTGGAATACTTAATGGCCTTTTTCCAGGTCAATAGTGGCCATCCGTCTGCAGGGCGGGGGGGGGGGGGGAGTTTTTTGCCCGCACCCGGGCTCTCACTTGCGTGACTTCGCTGTTCGAGGGCCTATGTGTTTTTCCATTCTTCCTCCGCCGGGCGCACGGCCCCCCGGTCTTTCTCCGACGACCCCTTGATTCGTCGAAGCCGAGAGGGTGTACCCCCGCCCCTCCTCCCCGACCACTCGGCCGCCCGCCAGGGGTAGAGAGGGTCCTGGGCGCCCTGTTTCCCGGCCTGCCCGCGCCGGTGGGGGACGTCCACCCGTGGCCGGCTCCGGCGGCCTTCACCCGGCCGCGCTCGCCACCCTCTCCGGGGGGAGAGGCCCTGGAGTGATGTTGTGTCCCCCCCCCTCCCCCTCCCCCCGGGGACTTCCCAGGGTGCTGGCTCTTCGGCCCGAGCGTCGCTTGATCGGCCGGTCAAGGGCAACCCTCCCTCGGGGGAGGGCGGCGGGGAGTGATCGGGCCTGGAGTTTACTGCTTGCTGCCCTGGCGCGCCCCCTGGCTCGGAATGCAGAGGCCGTGTTCACCCGACGCGCCTGGGGGGGGGGGGGGGCCCCTGTGCGTGGGTGTATTATTTGGGTCGGCCGTTCTTGGCGAGGCGCTTTCCCGCCCTCATCCCTGCCAGAATAGCCATGAGTTGCCTTTGCCTCCGGGGGGGACGGGGGGGCGCTGCGGCCGCGGGGTGGGGGATTGTTTTTCTTTCTGGCCGGGCAATTTGGCCAGATTTCAACAGGCGGTTCGGCATTACAACCAACGAACGACCCCAGGTGATTTTGTGGGGCGTGCCCCTGCCCCGACCCGTTTCCGGCGCACTTTTCGCCGGCGTGGTAATCATTTCGCTTTCTGGCCGAGGGCGCGCGCAAGTGCCTGTCTGGGGAGGGAGGGGGCACTGTGCGACCGGCGCGTGTGATGAGTCCGGATGCATGTGTGCATGTCTGTAAGCATATGTGTATTCCTCTCTGTGTCTCTCTCCCTCTCTCTCTCTCTCTCTCTCTCTGTTTCCGTATGGCAGCTTCGTGTCTGCAAGCATTCCCGACCTGTGCGAATGCGTGAAGCCGAGGGATATGCGTGTGCGTGCTTGTGTGTTCTCACGACCGCTTGCGGGAGAGGGCTGGCATCCGACCTTTTAGACCAACCGTGTCCTGGCCCCCGGGCCAAGCGTTCCCAGACATCTGCCCTTCCCCCCTCCTCCTCCCCCTCCCCCTCCCCCCCTCCCTGCACCTCTTCCCTCTCCACCTACTCCTAGGCAGAGCATGTCTTGGTCCTACTGCCCACCTGGCCTACAGGGTTTCGCCCTGTACGCCTTTGTGCCCGAGGGCACTCCTTCCAGCACCTCGGCGCCCCCGAGCGCCGGCGGCGCCAGCTCCAGCTCCGCGGCCGCCGGTGGCGCCAGCGGCGCTGCCTCGAAGGACAAGCAGCCGACCGACCCCTTCGTTCGCGCGCAGATCTCCCTTGACGTTGGCGATGCGGTTCTCATTGAGCAGGGTGTGTGCAGACGAGTGCCCCCTTGACTGTTCTCTTTCCTGGCCTGTTTATTCACATCCATTTTGTCCGCCCTCCGCCCCTCCTCTTCCATCAGAGTGCGCCGGCTGGTACCTCGGTTCGTTGCTCTACAACCGCCAGGTCCGCGGCATCTTCCCCGCCTCCTACATCATGCTGAAGCCGGATGACGACACAGCCAATGTCGATCCCCTTCTGGAGGAGGCGGTTGAGATGGTCCGCCAGTGGAACCAGAACATCCGGACTTACCTCATGTGCGTCTTTCCTCTTCCTCTCTTCCTCCCACTATGTTTCTTTCCGCCGCCCCACTCGGCGCCTTCGCGCATGCTTGCCTTTCGCGCATGCTTGCCTTCGCGCATGCTCACCTCCCGCCATCCTCCCGCCGTTCCTCCGCTTCCCAAACTACAGGAAGCAGCGCTACGACATGTACAAGCGCATGAAGTCGATTGTGGCCGGCCTTTTGAAGGACAGTCACAAGCTGATGATGCAGAACTTGCCTCAGGAGGAGTTGCGCAAACTCCGGCAGAACATGATCAACCGCATTGACATGGGCCAGAAGATCCAGGGGCTGGACATTGTCGTGCGCAATGACCATGGCATCGCCCTGGATTGCCGCAATGCCACGGTCACCGACCTGTACCAGCGCTACACGGACTTCACTCGCAGCGACACCGACGGCAAGTCCGCCGGCAGCGCCATCACCTCGCACCATCTGCTGATGAAGTTCGGCGCCTGTATCGCCCAGTTGTGTGGCCCCGGCGAGACGGCCGAGATCTTCTTCTCCCTCTACAACCACGCTACCAAGAGCTACCTGACCGAGAACTACTACATCGTCCTCACGCAGAATGGTATGCCGGTGGATGAGACCAAGATCAACCAGCTCAGCACCCTCTTCGTGGATCTTCCCCCGCTGTCGGTGCGTGTCCTTCCCCTGTGCCACTTGGCGCAGGCTGCTCCCCTTTCACCCCCTCCCCATGGCTGACCCACCTCCCTCTCCCTCTCCCTCTCCCCCCCTCTCTCTCCCTCTCGTTCTCCCTCCCTCTCTCTCCCTCTCCCTCCCTCTCCCTCCCTCCCCCTCTCTCTCTCTCGTTCTCTCTCCCTCTCTCTCCCTCTCGTTCTCTCTCCCTCTCTCTCTCCCCCCCTCTCTCTCCCCCCCTCCCAAAGCCCACCGACAAGATCTACCTCGTGTGCAAGATCATCCGCGTGGGCCGCATGAGCGTCACCCAGTCCGACAAGGACCGGTCCTTCTTCCGCCGGCCCTTCGGCTGTGCCACGCTCAATGTCGATGAGATCCTGGCCGGCAAGATCATCGACCCGGAGAAGGACTACGTCATCCACATCTATGTGGCCAACAATGAGGACGAGTTCCACCAGCTGCCCGATAACATCATCAGCATGAATGGCCAGTACCAGTCGATCCCCACGGCGCAGGCCATCTCCGTGTCCTTCCGGCTGTTTGGCGGCGACCTGGCCGGGCTGCTGGCCAGTGACACGGCGCCGATTCTCTCCGGGGTGGAGTTCACCCGGCGCATTGGCTTCCCGGAGGTCATCCTGCCGGGCAACCATCGCAATGACCTGTATCTGATGCCGTTGCAGGGCGAGTTCGGCCAGGGCCGCAAGACCACCGCTCGTAATGTGGAATTCTCCCTGACCGTGCGCAGCAACTCCACTGGCAGCGTCATCCCCAAGTGCATTTCCAAGGGGTCCGGCGAGCCGCTGGTGTCGGAGTTCGTGTCGACGGTGCTCTACCACTGCAACACTCCCCGGTACACGGATGTCATTCGCCTGGATGTGCCGATCGAGCTGTACAAGGATGTCCATTTGTTCTTCCTCTTCCGGCACTGCTCCAGCAGCGACAAGGATGACCGGACCGATCGGAACTTCGCCTTCGGCTTCCTGCCGCTGGTCACCCCGGAGGGCACGGTCCTCAAGGACAACCGGTACCCCCTGCAGCTGCTGGAGTGGGACAAGAAGCTCAAGCCGCAGCAGTCCTCCCTGGCGGATACCCTGCCCTCGCAGTATATGCACATCACGCCGGAGCGTGCTCTGGCCGATCCCAAGGGGACTCGCCTGCTCCGAGACAATCTGACCATCCAGCTGAGCCTCTGCTCCACGAAGCTGGCCCAGAATGTGGAGTTGCTGAAGCTCCTCTCCTGGAAGGCTTCCCGCACGGCGGACGAGGTGAAGGCCGTGCTGGTCGGCATCAAGCGCCTGGTGGAGCAGGATATCATGCGCTTCTCGCAGGACATCTTCGATGCCCTCTTCGCCATCCTGGACTCTCGCTTCAATGATGATGGCGCCCTGGACATGGATGTCTTCCGGGCCTTCCTCTTCATCATCAACTTGATGACGGATCCCCGGAGCCAGGACAAGTTCCGGCCGGTGTTGGATTGCTATGTGTCCATGCATTTCTCCTCGGCCATGGCCTACAAGCATTTGGCATCGGCCCTGTGCAAGCTGCTGGCCCTTCTCCAGGCCCCGGCCGGGATGGATCGCGACCGTGGCCAGACGCAGTCCATGCTGCAGACGGCCTTCTCCGGGCTGCAGGTCATCTTCAAGTTCATCGTCCAATCGCGTGTGCTCCAGCGGAACCAGGATCGCCGGCCTTCGGCCATCGCCGCCTCGGATCGCATGTTCCGCACCGAAATGACCAAGCTCTTCGAGGACCTGGTGTCCCTGCTGCGCCAGCCCTCCAGCGATCCATCGGCCCAGGCCGTCCTCGAGGCGCAGACCCAGCTCCTGGCCAACTTCCCCAAGTGCCTGCCGGAGTTGATGCGGGTGTATGATCTGTCGGAGTTGGCCCAGCTGACCCGGCAGTTCTTGACCGGGTCTTCCTCCCGCCATCCGGCCATCGTGGCGGCCAAGATGTCCATGATGCGGGCCCTGGTCAAGTCGACGCTCTTCTCGCATGCGGCCGCGCGTCAACCCCTGACCGCGCTCATCATCAGCCAGCTGATGGAGCAGATGCTGGACAACAATCGCGAAGACATGGCCCACGCCATCAGCACCCTGGGCGACATTCTGAACACCATTCAGGGCCCGGCTGGGGGTGGTAGTGGCGCGGGCCCGATGGCCGGCGCCGGCGCCCCCGGCGCCACCACCACCACCACCGCCGCCGCCGCCGCCGCCAATACCCTTACTCCGGGCGATCTGAACGCCAACGATGAGGCCATGCAGGACATCCTTCTGCTGGTTCCCTGCCTCATCAGTGCCTATGAGGAGTTGATTGCCGAGGTGATGGGCGGCTCGGCCGGGCCCGATGCTGGCAATGCCGCGGCGGCGGCGGCCGGTGCCGGTGCCGGTGCCGGCCCCGGCCCCGGCGCTCTGGGGGGCATGAACCTGTCGGAGCGCATTTCCGCCCTGACCATCACGGCTGGCCCGTCGGCGTCGGCTGCCTCGGCCCGGTCGGAGGCCGCGGCCGCCAAGGCCACGACCAGCGACTCGCAGCGTCTCCTCCGGGACCTGGTGGTCACATTGCTGGCCATCTTCTATGTCACCCCGCCGGCCATCCTGTCCAATTGCCTGTCCACCCGGCTCAATCCGTCGGAGGCCACCAACTACCTGCAGTCGCTGATCGGCGTGTCGCTGTCCATCCTTTCGCACGATGTGTTCCCCTCGCAGTGGGCCGCCATGCAGATGCTCATTTGCCGTGTGATCATCAAGATCGCGGCCATCCTGTCGCCGATCTTGCAGGCGCGCCTGCAGCACTCCTTCGAGGCCGAGCTCTGGCATGACTACCTGCTGCTGCTGTCGCGTCTGGTTACCTCGCCGCATTTGGAGCTGGAGGCCTTCTCCGTGACCAAGGAGCGCCATGTGCGCCGGGCCTATGGCGACCAGCGTCTGGAGATCATCTCTTTGCTGACCCGGACCTGGGACTTCCTCGGGGCCCCGCGCCATGGGGTCTTCGCTCTGACCCTGGTGGGTCCGATGTTGGAGATTACCACCATGCGCCTGCCTCCGGCCCGGACTTTTGCCATCCAGGCGATTGCCTCCATTTGCCGGCAGTTCTTCGAGGTGCACCGGTCTCTGCGGCAGATTGAGCTCGAGTGTGTGGATCGCATTGACAAGCTCATTTCCGACGGTCGTGCCGATCACGATGGCGACGGCTACCGGGGGTTCATTGTTTCGGCCATTGATGCCGTGTGTGCCGGGGCTCCGGCGGACTTCCGTGCTTCGTTGGAGCACCTGCTCCGGTCGTGGGACAGCCATTTGGCCCTCCTGCTGAACCTGCGCTCCATCCCGGACCTGGTGGAGTATGAGGACGAGCGCATCCATGGGATCATGAAGCTCATGGAGTTCATTCGCCAGTCCGATCGCCATGAGACCTACATCCGGTATGTGCACCAGCTGGCCGAGCTCCATGTCAAGTCGGGCAATTACACCGAGGCGGCCTTTGCCCTGTGCCTGCATGCGGATATGCTCACTTGGGACAACCGGCCGGAGGCCACCCTGGATGCGGTGGTGGACTTCCCGGCGCAGACTTCCTTCGATCGGAAGGAGGCTCTCTACATGAAGATCTGCGACTACCTGGACAAGGGCAAGAACTGGGAGGACGCCATTGCCCGGTCGAAGGAGCTCATCCAGCACTATGAGGCCGGTGTCCGGTATGATTACAAGAAGATGTCGGTGGTGCTGTCCAAGCAGTCGGTGTACTACATGAACATCCTCATGCGGGAGCGCTTCGCCAATGAGTACTTCCGTGTGGGCTTCTACGGCTTGGGCTTCCCGCCGTCGTTGCGCAACAAGCAGTTCGTCTATCGTGGTGATGAGCTGGAGCGTCTGTCCTCCTTCAAGGACCGCATCCAGGACAAGCACCCGGTGGCCGAGGTGCTGAACACCAATGCCGCCCCGGGGCCGGACATCACCAACTCCACCGGGCAGTACATCCAGATTGTCAAGGTGGACCCGTCCCCCGACCGGGCTGGCAACCCGCTCCTTTCGAATCCCGACGTGCCGGAGTACATCAGCAAGTACTACGAGACCAATGCCGTGTCGATGTTCTCCTTCTCGCGGCCCTTCAAGAAGTTCAAGACCGGCAACGAGTTCCTGGACCTCTGGACCGAGCAGACTCTCCTCTACACGGAGTATGTCTTCCCGTGTGTGCTGCGCCGGGCGGAGATCCTGCGCGTGGAGGTCATCGAGCGTAGCCCCATCGAGAATGCCATCAAGAACATGGCCACCAAGAACAAGGAGCTGCGTTCCTTCTTCGTCAAGTACACCGAAAACCCCGGGGCCAACTGCAATCCCTTCACCATGTGTCTCAGTGGGACGGCCGATTCCCCGGTCAATGGTGGTGTCGGGTCCTACCGGACGACCTTCTTCTCGGCCGAGTACATCGCGGAGAATCCCACCCACGGGGAGTTCGCGTCGACCTTGCGCCAGCTGATCGACGACCAGGTGGTGGTGGTGGAGCAGTGCATCCAGCTCCATGCGCAGATTGTCCCGGATCAGATGGTCCCCCTGCACCAGCAGATCATTGTCAACTTCGAGAAGAACTTCTCGGAGGAAATCTCGCGTCTGCTGCCGGGCCGGCCGCCGGGTGGTGGCCCCGCCTCGCAGCCGGGCGGTGCCCTGCCGACCGGCTTTGCCGGTGCCATGCCTCTGGGAGGTGCCGGCGCCGGTCACCAGCCCTCCGAGTCGATGGTCCTGGCCGGCGGCATGTTGCCCCCCGGGGCCTCGGGCGCCGGCATGGTTACCAGCCCCACCAGTGCCACCGGGCCCGGTGGTGGTGGTGGTGGCGGCGGCGGCGGCGGCGGCGGCGTCGGGCACTTGCCTCCGGCCAGCCCGTCGCTCTCGCGCTCTGGCAGCCTCGTAGGCGTGGCCCCCCCGGCGCACCTGGCCGGCCGGCCGCTGAGCACCATCAGCACCAGCTCGGTCGGGTCGTCTGGGTCCTTGACGCCGGCGGTGTCGATGGCACCTGCTCCGGCCCCGGTGCCGGGGTCGGCGGCGTCTGTCCCGCCGCCGCAGCCCCTGTCGCCGGCCCTGCCGCAGCCGCTGGCGTCTGGCGTCCCGCCTCCGGCGTCGATTGCCTCGCCCGCGGCATCGGCCACCGGTGTGGCTTCCCCCCCGCCGCCCATCACCCTGCCTGGGCAGCCGCTGCCGGGTGGGCCTGGCTCGCCGGCTGGCGCGCGCGCTCCCCCGCCGAAGCCCGGCGTCCTGGGCGCCGCGGCTGGCGATGCGTCGGATGGCCTGCCGCCGGTGGCTGCTCGGCCGTCGCCGGCGGCCAAGCCCCGCTCCCTGGTGGCTGGCATCACCGCGCGCTTCAACAATCCCAACTAATTGTGCTTGTTGCCTGGCTTTTGTTGCCCCCTTTCGACTGGGCCTTCCTCCCTCTTCTCCCTTCCCCCGGTGTTTCATTCTCATGTGTGTCTCGTCCACTCCCCTCTATGACAGGGGGGGGGGGGAGGACAATGTGGTCTGTTCCTCAGCCCGAAAGTGGCCACGCAAGGCCCCTCTCCCCCCCCCCTCTCCCCCATCAGCAGCCACAAAGAGAGATGTCCAAAATACACCCTTTTTTTGCCCCCACCAACAGCCATGCATGTTTCGCACGCCTGCCTTCTCTTTTCTCTCGGCCCTGGTGTCCGGATATTGGAGTCTCTCTCTCTCTCTCTCTCTCTCTGGGGTCGGTGGTGCACTCGAGCATGCGCGAGTGAGCCTTCTGGCCGGTGCCCCGCCCTGTGGTGTCCTGGTTGCTGTTTTCCCCGTGACGTTCATGTGGACAGGGGGCGGCATTTTATTCAGGCAGATATGTGTGCAGGTAGGTCACCACCCTGTCGAAGAGGGGACACAGGAAAAGGGCATACTCCCTCGTGCAGGTGAGTGTAGGAGGGGAACCAAGGTGGCGAGAATACAATAATATACACGTAGCCCCCAAAGCACGTATGTTCCCCACTTGGCCTCTGGTCCCGCCTGCATGAGTGGGGGCTCGCTCATGCACACCCACCCACCCACCCACACACCCACACCCACACCCACACTCACACTCACACCCACACCCACACCCACACCCACGGCCGGAACAACACACATACAAAGGAAAACACCAGAGAATCTATGACATGTCGGAGGCGCTGACATCAGCCGGGCTGCCATCCAGGGGAGTGAGAGGCTCATCGTCGGCCGGTGCCACCATGGTTGCCACCGGGTCGATGGTCTCCTCGGTGTCGGGATCGTCGTCCTCGACGTCGGTGTCCAAACTGCCGGCCGGTCGGCCGGTTTCCGTGGCGTCGGAGTCCACGTCATCATCACTTTCCCCGGCTCCCGAGGCATAGGCTGCCAGAAGGCTGTCGTCCTCCGGGAAGTCGGGCACCGATGATCTGTCGGCAGGTGCCTGGTCGAGGTCACTGCCAGTGCTGTCGTGTGCCGGTGTCGTCGCGGCCACCGACATGGTCTGGTCCTGGGCTTGGAAGCGCCAAGCGGCCGCCAGCCGAGCCTGCAAGTAGGCCGGGGTACAGGCGTCCAGCAGCATCGGCTGCTTGGTAAGGGGGGAGATTGGCCGCTGGGTGCGCAGCATCCACCCCTCGAGGGCCAGGAACTCGTAGATCATGCCGTCCGGCGCGAGAATCGGCTCGCGGAAGATAACCCCCGACAGGGGACACCGCAGGGAGCTGTCAATCATCGGCATGTTCGGCGGAGCAGCAGCCAGCAAGGCCGCATCGGCCGCCAGATAGTCCGACAGGAGCTGCTCAAGGGTCTCCAGGCGCTGGGCCAAGAGGTCCGGGCTATCGTGCAGGAGCATGGCCGACAGGGGGGATTCCGCTTGCGAGGCTTCATCGGCCCCGGCGGTGGCGGTGCTGATGGGGCCCATGTCCGATGCGCTGACCGTCGTGTCGAGAAGATGGGCATCACCAGAGTCATTGTCATCAAGGAGCGGCGGCGGAGGGGGGGCCGGGCTCAGCGGGCTCTTGGGCCCGGCGACCGGCGACACTGGCACCACCACATTGACCAGAGACAGGGGACGGGGAGGGAGCGGCGATGCCAAGCCCGGGGCCGCCACGGCGTCCGCGAGGGCGCTGTTGACTGTCAACGGCGTCGGCTGGCGAGGGAGCGTGCCGCCGGCCACCGGCAGCGGCGGGGGGAGAGCGGCGTCGGCCGACGGCGCCAGTGCCGGCGGCAGAGGCGCCCCACCGGAGGGCACCATGGACCCGGGCCCCGGCGGCAGAGTGGGGTTGGTCCCTTGGATGTACGGCGACAGGACCAGCGGCGGGGGCAGCGAAGCGGGGAGCCCGCCAGCCGGGCCAGCAACCAGCGGGCTTGGCAGCGGTTGCCCAACCGGAGTGTTGGGACAGCTGAAGTGCGCCACGGACAGGGGCGCCGGGATGGGGGCCGGCACCGGGATCGGCCCCATGGCCGGGAGTGAGGCTGGAACCGGCACCGGCACCGGCATCGGCACCGGCATCGGCACCGGCACCGGAGCCGAGCCCGGGGTGGCCATCATGCTCAGGTCCACCGAGAATTGGCCCTCCTCGCTGGTGTTGTAGAGGGTTTGCAGGGGGGCCGGGACGGGCGACTCCTCATGCTGGCGGCGATACTCGTCCAGGGGAAGGATCGGCGCCGGGAGCACCTCCTCACTTAGGTTCAAGGCAAAGGCCTCTTCGCCATGGGCGCCGACATTGACGGGCTGCGGCTGTGGCGGTGGCTGCGACGCCAGCGGAGCGACGACACTGGCAGCCGGCACACTGGACTCGGAAATCCCCAGAGCGGAGGCCGAGCCGGTGGAGCCCATGGCCGAGCGCTTCCCGACGCCGGAGGGCGATCGAGCCAGCGGAGAGAAGGCCACCACCGCCGCATCCACCAGGAAGGTGGCGGCAGCCACATAATCCTCGGCCGTGCCGCGACCCTGGGGAGTGGCGTCCAGCAGTGATTCCAGCACCAATGGGCGCTGCTCCGCCACCGATCGACTCGGGGTCCAGAGGGACAGCCACCGGGGAGCACCGCCCTGGTCCACCTGCATGTTGACCAGTTCGCGCACCGCCAGGCAGAAGGGCCGGAAGTGCTTGGAGGACCCGGCCACCGAGCAGAAGCGCTCGTAGGGCAGTCGCACTCGGATGTCGTACGAGAGCGACTGGTCCGTCAGGGCGCTGAGGGCCAGCATGCTGACGCCATTGATGCGGGACGACTGGAAGCGCCCGGTCAATGGCGCGAGCCCGACGGATTCCAGCCAGGCCGCCACCTCGCGCGAGGTCCACACAAGCATCAGACTGCCAGGGCCCCCGGGCGCGCGGCCGGGCCCGTGGGCCGCGCCGGAGACCGGCGTAGCCGGAGCACTGTCACCAAGTGGCCCGGCCGACAGGGCACTGTGAAGCTGGCCGAGGTCCGGCGAGGCGGAAACGTCACCGGTCCCGGCGGTCGAGGCCGTGGTGGCCGCCATGGCCGGCGGGCCCACCGGCATGGCGATCACACGCCCATGGGGGAAGGCAAGTCGGCATTCGGCCATCAGGGCGAAGAAGAGGATGGTCGTGGCGTCGCTGACCGACAGGTGGTACGGGGCCCGGGTGAGCTCCTCCAGCGACAGGGCCAGCAGGTCCGACCCGTCGATTAGCCCCCCGCGGATGAGCTGCTGGTGGATGTCCAGCGGGCGCTCCAGGCCGCAGTCCTCCAGCCAGACAAGCATGTCGTCCACGGCCAGGGCAGCCATGCCGGCCGGGGCCAGGCCCATCTGGCCGGCCGATCCCTTGGACGGGCCGCCGCCGGCCTCCTCCGCGGTCGATGACGGAGTCGACGAGGAGGAAGAGGCGTGGGCAATGCCGAGGATGCTCTCGGTCGGGCCGTTGACCGTGGCCCGAAGGGTCACATGGCGCTTTTGGGTCCGAGCCAGGCGGCGCTCCACCGTGTGCACCTCGGACCGGAGGTTGGCCACAAGCTTGCGGGTTTCGCGCTGCTGGCGCGCCAGCAGCCGGGCCTCCTCCTGGAGCTGGGAAATCTTCCGCGCAATGTCACGCTCGCGCGCGGCGGTGGTCGCCTGCTTGTCAAAGACCGCCTCCAAGTGCGTCAGGGTCTCCACCAGGCACTGGGCATCCACCTGGGCGCTCTGCGCGAGGCGGGCCAGCTCCGCACGACGTCCACTCAGGCAGGGGTGGGGAAATTCCTGGACCACAGCCGCGCCCAGCTGGTTGGTCATGGTCGAAGCCAGGCGCCGAGCGGAGCGCATGAAATCCATGCCAGCCGCCCCGGCACCGGTGGCCGGAGGGGAGGACGAGGCGGAGGCCGTGGCTGCAGCCGACGAGGCGACCACCGGGGAGCAGGTGGCGGCAGTGCGCTTGGACACGCGAATGTCCAAGTTGTCCGTGCCCTCGGTGGACAGGGAAATGGTGATGTCATTGCCGGGATCATTGAAGATGGAGCCGGAGCTCGGCGAGCCAACTGGGCCATCCTCGCCGGCACCGGTGCCGGAGGGAGCCGCAGCCGGGTCCTGGGGGTCGGTGGCAGCCGGGGACAGGCAGCCGGGCGGACCGGCCGTGTCCGGCAGCCCATGCGCTGCATGGTCGGCCACTGGGCCCGGCGGGTCGGGGTCAAATGGCTGGCCGACGCTCAGGCGAATGCGCACCGGGGCCGGGGCATTGCCATCGGGGCCGTGCTCGGGACCGAGGTCGGGCGCCGGCGAGCCGGACTCCACCGGGGTGCTGGCCGAAATGCGGGTGATCGGGAGGATCTGCCGCGAGGAGAGCGGGGCATCGGCCGTGAAGGATGACGGATTGGGCGGAGCCACCGAGCCATATTGGCCGATGGAGGGACCGAGGGGCTGGTCGGCGTAGATCAGCGGAGCCGGGGGATCCGAAAAGGGAAGCTCACTGCCCGGGGTGGGGGGAGTGCCGAAGCGCCGGAGGAGGGTCTCATCGAAGGCATTGAAGGAGGGCCGCCGGCCGCCGGTGCCGCTGTTGCCGATGGAGCTGGTCGGCGAGCCGGACATGTGGTCGACCACATGGCGCAGCGAGCCGGACATGATGACGCGCTGTTCCTGCTGCAAGTTGAGAGCCCGAGCCATGGACTTTTCCCGATTGCGAAGCTGCTCATTCAGGTAGTCATTGACCGTGGTGGCGATGCCGGCGGCCACGGACCAGATCTCCACCATGGGCTGGTTGGCCAGGGCCAGCGACACGACATTGTGCCGGGGATGGTAGTTGACATGGGCAATCTACCGGGCGGGCAGAAGGGGCAAGGCACAGTCCCGGCCTCCGCCCGAGCAGGCGGCGAGGGCAGGAAAGGGGGTGAGCGGGGGCATGCACGAGAATGGAGGGCGCCATGTGGCGGGCCGCGCACCGGAGCATTGATGGGGATCCAGGAAAGCGGGTCCTGGTGCGAGGGTTCCACATAGTTGAGGACCTGGCCGGCCTCGATGGACCAAACCCAGGCCCCGCCGGAGGAACTGCCGGCCACCAGGAGCGTGTCGTCGGCCGACCAGCAGAGTGACGTCAGGGTGCCGCTGTAGGTGGAGGCCGACACGTCGGGGTTGGAGGAGGTCGGCACGATGAGCTGCACAATGCGAACCCAAGCGGCCGCGCGGAAGATCCAAAGCGAGAGACTGCCATCGGAGCAGGCCAGGGCCAGGATATTACCCTGATGGTTGAACTGGACGCATGACACCTGCAGGCGAGCGGCGGCGAGCGGCGGCGAGCGGCGCGGAGGAAGGAAGTGTGTGTGTGTGTGTGTGTGTGCGGGTGTGAGTGGATATGTGACACAATGCGCGAGTCTCGCCCGCCAGCTGATGGGGCTGCCTGGCCGGCCGGTGGAGAAGCACCGGGGAGGAGCACAGGGGGGGGGGGGGCAGGCTGAGGCATGGGTGGGCACGGACCAGGATGTGCCCGAAGGACAGCCGATGGATGTCGCTGTCTGGATCGAACATGTCGTACACAAAGACATCGCTGGAGGCGGTCGGGGCAACGAGGGCACCAGCCGGCCCGGGTTCCGGGACCGAATGCAGGTTCCCAGACACGACGGCCAGCCACCGGTTTCCGGAGGCCAAGTTCGCATGGACGATGGCCATGGTGCCGAAGTCCGAGAGGATGCCCACCTCGAAGAAGAGAGCCCGGCTGGCGGCCGGAGACGAGGCCGAGGCCGAGGACATGGACTTGCTGCTGGAAACCGGGGTTTCATGCCCCGGGGTGCCGAGGATGACCAGGTCCCCCTGGCCGGTGCCGAACCACAGATATGCCCCATCGGAGGAGAACCCGCAACAGAGGATGGGCGAGGTGTAGGTGGCATAGAAGCGCTTGTGGAAGGACACCGGAATGGAGCCATTCTTGGCGGGTGCCCCCTTGCGAACGCCCCAAACGAGCAGCGTCGCGTCGGTGCCGGTGGTGGCAAGCCACTCGCCGGTGGGGCACCAGTCGATGTGGGTCACCTGCGAGGGGCCGAGGCGGCCAGGTTATGGCCGGCGGTGCGAGGGCGAGGGAGTGAGATGGAGAGGGGGGAGAGGGGGGGGGGGGGGGGGGGGGGGGGGGGGGGGGGGGGGGGGGGGGGGGGGGGGGGGGGGGGGGGGCGGATGGTGGGCCCAAGCACGGCGGGAGAGGGATGCCGATGGGGGGGCAGCAAGGGAGCGGAGGCCGGTGGCGGTGGTCGGGGTGGGTAGGCCATGGCGCGAGGCACGCACCGGCGATGAGTGGTGAAGGATGGTAATCAGGTTGCCAGAGCGAGCCTCATGGATGCGAATGGTGGCGTCGATGCCACAGGTGGCCAGCCAGGTCCCGCAGGGTGAATACCGGATGCCGGAGATCTGGGCCGGTGGTGCGCCGGGAGGGCGAAGCGGGGTGGTGAGTAGACGCTGGGGAAGCGGGCGGAGCACGCCCAACCAAGAGGGGGTGCGGGGGGGG